TACATATGGTTCGTTTGTTCATAGATACATATACGTACGTATGTAGACTTCATATATGGATGTAGTTTTTCATTTGTTAAAGAAGATGAATTATAGGAGAATAAGTAGTATTGGAGTTTGAATTCTAATCTAACTCTCCACGTTGCCTCACTTATTTCAGCGGAAAGTTTTGGCTCCCCGAGTTGACTATATTTGGCCTCTTCCAATCAACTTGAGCATGCCCATGTGGATGGGTATGGTAGTAGCTGTGTATGATATTATTGCATGTACTATGTCTATATCATTGATGCGTATTATTGTTATTATTGTACAAAGCTTATATTATTGGAATTGTATGTATACTATTGTTAAATGGGGCTCTATTATTATACATATATTATGTATATTTATTACTACGTATTAGACTTGAAAAGTCAACTCATTTAACACTTATTTTTATATCATATTTAGTATATTGTTGTACACATATTGTTGAGATGTCACATTTTAAAATTTATGTCATATGTATAACTATGACTTCTTACATAACGTCACTTATAACAACTTAATTAATACTATTATTTATTTATTTTCCATTTTGTCAGATATATTTTATCTGATATTTTTCTCTTTTCTTTTATTTCCCTTTTCAAACTTCCGCTGTATTTCTTCAACATTATGATGAATGAATAAAGAATTTCCTTTAAATTATCAATGTTTTGGGTGGGAAATTTGGGGGTGTTACAAGAATCATCAAGTGCGAGTTCTCAATCTAGCGAGAATGAAGAGCCAATATCTATGGCTAATGAAACGAGAACGTTGAGGGAGCTCACATCTCCAAATCTTGATCAACAACCCATATGTATCACTTTTCCAATTCTTGATACGGGGGTCACATTCGAGCTAAAATCTGGGATCATTCATCTACTTCCATCTTTCCATGGTCTATGAGGGGAAGATCCGAACAAACACTTGTCGGAGTTCCATATTGTGTGCACAAGCATGTGCCCCAATGGTGTCTCGGAGGAGCAAATCAAGCTGAGAGCTTTTCCATTTTCTCTAAAAGACACCGCGAAGGACTGACTATTCTATCGTCCTTCGGGAAGTATCACTACATGGCCACAAATGAAAAAGGCTTTCCTCAAAAGGTACTATCCCGCATCTATCTCTTCATCCCTCAAGAAGAAAATAAGCAACATTGAACAACGGGATAATGAATCCTTGTATGAATTTTGGGAAAGATTCAAGAAGCTTTTTGCTAGCTGCCCCTATCACAGATACACCGAACAAGATCTCATTCTCTACTTCTATGATGGTCTTGTAGATCAAGATCGCCGCATGGTGAATGCAGCATGTGGAGGGGGTATTGTCAACAAAACCTCTTCTCAAGCAAGAGATCTTATCTCGGAGTTGGCCGAGAACTCTAGACACTACGATGGGCGGTCCTCAACGAGTCGAATTGCCGCCGCAAAATTGACATCATCATTGGAGAGTCAAGTTGTCGGCTTGACTTCTTTGGTTAAGGATTTCCTTTTAAAATCCAAGACCCAAGAAGTCAAGGTCTGCGGCATTTGTACACAACAAGAGGACACCACAGAGCAAGTCAACGCATTGGGCTTCCAAGGACATCAACAAAGGAGATACGACCCATTCTCAAACTCTTACAATCCCGGATTGAGGGATCATCCAAACTTGAGGTATGGAAACCCTCAACAATCCAACTCATCTTCTCAATCTAGTATGTCTACGGAAGACATGATTCGAACTCTTGCTACTAGCATGGGCACCTTGCAACAAAACGTGGTGCAATTTCAACAAAAAACAAAGTCAAGCATTCAAAATTTGGAAACTCAAGTTAGCCAAATTTCAAATGTTATAAGCCGACTTGAGGCAAAAGACTCGGGTAAACTCCCATCTCAAACGGAGCAAAAACCCGAGACAACACGTTAATGCAATCATGTTGAGGAGCGGGACAACGTTGAAAGAAATGCATAAGGAAGAAAATGAAGTTCATCTTGGAGAAGTCTTTCAACCGGATGAGGAGGAACCAACAAAGACAAAATTCCCTCCACTATCATCATATGAGACACTCCCTCCATTCCCTGAGGCACTAAAGGACACAAGGAAGCTGAGAAATGATCGGGACATCTACGAGACCTTCGCAAATTGTGAGGTAAACATTCCGCTCCTTAACTTAATGAAGAGTATCCCCCGTTTTGCTAAATTTTTAAAAGAATTATGCAAAACAAAAAGGCAAAATAAATTAAAAAGGAAACAAGAGGTTAAGGTGAGTGAACGTGTCTCGGCTATATTTCAAAAGAGACTCCCCGAAAAATGTAGCGATTCGGGCATGTTCACTATTCCTTGCAAGATAGGGAAACACCACATTTTCTAAAGCCTTGTTGGATTTAGGGGCATCTATAAATGTTATTCCCTACTCTGTGTATAAATCCCTACAACTTGGCCCACTGCATCAAACCGGTGTACTAATTCAACTAGCGGATCGTTCTAATACTTACCCGAAGGGTGTATTAGAAGATGTGCTAGTAGAAGTAGAAAATATGGTTTTTCCTGTTGACTTCTATGTCCTTGAAATGGGGGATGATGACCAAATGACACCCATCCTGTTGGGTAGACCTTTCCTAAAGACCGCAAAAACAAAAATTGACGTGTCTAGTGGTTCATTAACTTTAGAGTTCGATGACCAAAAAGTAGAGTTCAATATCTTTGACTCTACGAAAAACAAAGTAAAGATCAATCTATTTGTTCTTTAAATGTTTTTGAACTACATACATCGACCATTTTTGTTGAAGCTGAGAAAATCCCATTTTTGAAAAAGAAGAACAAATTGAGCATAAGGAACCACCTTTGATTGAAGAGGAATCGCTCATATTTTCAACAAAAGAATTAATCCCGCCTAGGGATGGAGTGATAACAATGAAGAAATCCCGGCCTTACTGGAAAAGGCCGAGGAAGAAAAATGAAACAAAGGATGTTCATGATCCCACATAAACCGAAAAAAAAAAAAAACGTCGTGCCACGACGTTAAATAAGGCGCTTCTTGGGAGGCAACCCAAGTCAAGTAGTTAGGATTTTATTTCTTTTTAAATTAAATTTGAGAGAAAAGGGAGAGAGGGCACTAACCACATGTTTTGGAGAAGAGAAAAAAATGCAGGGTTTGAGCAGCTGGAGACATACCCGATCGGGTATTACTTCACTACTCAATCGAAGCAGCAATTTTTTTTTACAGGCATACCCGATCGGGTATAGTTCCGTACTCGGTCGGGTATTTTCAGAAAAGCTAAAGGGTAAACAACCTGCTAAATCTACCCGATCGAGTACACATCATTACTCGATCGGGTATACATGCATTACCAAGAGATAAAACCCCCTGCCTCCCCCACCCGATCGAGTACACAGCTCAAAACCGAACAAAAGACGCATACCCGATCGGGTATACACCAATACTCGATCGGGTATACCTGTGATTTAACCCCAAACCACACCCCAAAACACTTCATCTTCTCCAAACAACCACCTAAAATTCGAACCCCTCTCCCACAAACTCCATTTTTCTACCTTCTCTCTACCATATCTCCCTCATTCCTCCACCAAATCATCCCATTCCACCACCAAAATACTCCCCTCGCTCTCCTCTACACATCCATACCTACAAATCCCCTTTTCCCCCAAATCTCCAAAAATCCGAAAACCCTACCCTCTATTTCGAATTTTGGATTTTCAAGCTCCAAAACACCAACAATGGCTCCAAGAAAGAATAGGGGAGAGAGCTCCAACACCATGGCACCCATCCCGGGCTACAAGGACTTCCATTTCGTCGACGCGGAACATCGGGCTAGAATCCTCGCCACAATAGCAAGGCAAGTTAAACCATCCCGTTTTCTTTGCCATAAAGCTCTTCGTGATTTAGGCTTTCTTAAGAGCACTAGAAAATTTTTTCATGAGTTGGGAATGGACCTTATTTTCAATATGAAATACAACTCAAATGAAAAAATTATCTATGAGTTCATAAGTTCGGCTTGTTTTGAGAGCAATGAGGATGATCTTAGAGATGATACATTCACGTTTCGTTTGCTAAACCGAGAATATTCAATAAAGAAACTTGAGTTTGCCGAACATTTTGGCATCCCAGTCCCCTACGAGAGAGAGATTTCGGACAACACCGTAATGGGTCATGCACTTTGGACCAAAATGACCGGAGAAGTAAACTTTAGCTTCTCCCAACTATACATAAGCCATGTTCATCATCCCATTCTCCAGATATTTTTAAAGTTTTTGGCAAATTGTATACTTGGGCGCCCCAACAATCATCATACTAGGATGGGGGACGTGTGTTTGATGACCACGGTTTTGTTCTGTCGCGCTGTGGATTTTAATCTTTGCAATTTGATGTGGGCACACCTCAAGAAAGAAAGCTTTGCTAAAGGCCCAATTGTATTGGGTGGGGTGATTATGCACTTGGCAACAAAGTTTGGGTATACGGATAACTCTCCTATAGCCGACTATTGTTTAATGAATATCACTTGGTTAGGCAACTCGGGGTGTACTACTTTTTCTCACACGGTATATGGTGAAGATCATCCCCGACATGTATACAATTGGCTCATACACCCAAAACCGGTAAGACATTTCCCCTTGCCTAACCCGGACCTCCCCAAACTCCATTACAACAGAGATGTGCCCCATTACTTGTTCCCACACCTCCTCCCACCACACCTACAAGAACCTCAAGCCGAAAACCTTCCCGAAAACCAACACGAAGAAGCACCCCAAGCCGACCATGATGAGCCCGAAGCCATGCATGGACACATTCCCGAACTGCCCCAAGGTCCTCCACCTCCCGATTACTTCCAACAACTACTTGATGGGTTCAACAAAGTGACCAACAAAGTTGGAAGATATCGGGAGGAACAAAGGGCAGGATTTCAACGACTTGAGGAGCAAAGGGCCGAAGACAACCGGAGGTACGAAGAAGATCAACGTAGGTTCTATGGGCCTATGTACTCCTACATGGCTCATCAAGCCTCGTTCCATACTATGGCTCACCCACCCCCACCCCCTCTTGGTATGACCCCACTCATTGGGGTAACTTTGGAGGATCTAGCTCCGGGGGTGGAGGTTACGATGGCGGGGATGGCGGAGATACACACATGGGTGACGGGAGCTTTGGAGGCGGTTTTGGAGGCGGCTACTATGGCGGCGAAGGTGGGCAATAGGGACAATGCTTGGGCTGAGAAGGGGGGAGACTCCTCATGGTATGTAATTTTATTTTCTACCCTTTACTATGCATAGATTTTCTTTTACTCTTTGTAAACAAAAAAAAGAATAATAAAAGAAAAAGAAATGCTAGTTAGGTTGAAAACCCAAAAATGGGCAATCTAAGCAAAAATGAATTATAAAAAAAATGAGTGAGTTAGGGAGGATGGAAAAACAAAAAGAGATGCTAGGATGAAAACCTGGAAAGGCTCCTAGGCAAAATGAGAGATATGAGAGAAATATTTGTTGTGTGCAGGAACTCATTTGATCTCTTGGGAGAAACAGGAGAAGAAGAAAAAGAGGAAGAAGAGAAGAAGAAAAAGAGGCGAGAAGATGGAGCATAGAAGATCACAAAACCCAAGAAAGAATGTTGTTTGAAAACTCATTTTTATTCCTTGGTGATCTTAGTTTCTTTCTCTTTTGAACTCATGGAAAAATCTTAAACTGTTTGGAACATTTTACTTTACTCGAGGTCGAGTAAAGAACTATGTGTGGGGGAATTGATACGCGTGTAATTTCCGTGTGTATGTTTGTGTTTTTCACTAGTTTTGGTTGTTTGATATTTCGGAAATTACACACTTTTGGTGTAATAGTTATGTTTGTAATTTAGTTGTAATTCATTTAGATTAGGTTCATTCTGAGCTTAAACAGGTCCAAGATCAATCAAATGATCATTGGCGAAGGAAGGTGCAAGAGTACAAGACAAAAAGAAGGCAAATTCCTGATTTTGACCTGTACCCGGTCGAGTATACCATGTACTCGATCTGGTACCAACTTGAGTCTCAATCAGATCAATCAGGAAACAAAGGGACGTGCAAGGGAAGATTTGGCCACGATCCGTTGTCATACTCGATCGGGTACACCAACACACCCGATCGGGTATGCCTTTTATTTTTACCCTAGGATCGATCGAGTAAAGCTCGAAATCAACATTCTGCAAATACCCGATCGGGTACCCTATGTGTACTCGATCGGGTACCCGAGCTGCACTCCCAAAAAGCCTATAAATACACCTCTTTCCCTTCACAATTGGACCACCAATTCCTTTATACTCTTAAGCTCAGTTTAGAATAGCATTTCTTTATATTTTTCTAGCATGTTTATTCTCCAAATGAGGAGCTAAACTCTCATTTCTAGGTGTTGCTCTTGCAGCTTGTTGATTATTAAAGTTGTGAGTTATTTTCTTAAACTTCTTTCCTTGAATATTAATTCTTCTTTTAAATACTATTTCTATATCAATGTTGGGGAGTGTTACTAAGATGACAATTAGTTAACATCTTGACATTAGTTATAGTAATATTTATTTTTTCCTCTATGTTAATATTGGGGAGTGTTACTAAGATGACAATTAGTTAACATCTTGATATTAACTATAGTAGGATTCATCTCTTCTTTAATATTCTTCCTTGAGTATTAATTAATTCCTATTCATATTTCATATTAATATTTTGAACATTACTTAAAGGATCAACTAGTTTTGTTTCATATGTTAATTATTACTAGAAACGATCAACGAACCGATGGTTAATCGTTGATGGTTTCACAAGTAAGTAACTTCGGTTTATTAATGCACGGTCGTGGTTAATAAACTTAAGAGGGATTAATTTTGTTGGTTAAACCGAAACCGTTGTGTTGAGGTTATCAATCTCAATTGATTTCATCAAGGAGTTGAGAGATTAAATGCTACTATCAAGTCTGTATATGGCGGTGTTCTATACTTGACTAATAGTAAGGGTTATTATTGAACGGTCGTTGTTAATAACTACCCTCGATGAATTGGATATACTCCTCGATTGAGTATTCGAGAGGGGATAAGTTATAGATATAACAATGATCGACTGAGATATATCAACAAGTGGAAAGTAGCAATGCCAAGTCCTTTTTATTTTTGAATTAAATCTCATATAAGTCGTTCATCTTCGTGTTTAAATTAATTAAATCACTCAATCAAAACCCCCCCTTTATTTACTAGTTTCATAAAAAGAGAATTATTCCTTTCCCTGTGGATACGAACTCTACTACGCTATACTACGTATAAGTGTTAGTATTGAATTTATTTTGACGCACCGTGACAAAGTGCACGTCAAGCCCCGTCTGATTCCCAGAAGGTGAGAGACATTCTTCTTGGAATCTTTGGAGGTGGCAAAACACGCCACAAACGCATGAGCCAACTCCCGGAAGTTCCTTATCCTTCCATCTGGCAAAGAGTCGTACCATTCCCGGGCTAGCCCATCTAGGGTTACCGAGAACCCCTACATTTTATAGCATCTTCATATCCCATCATGACCATATAAGCCACGTACCTGGAAACGTGATGCTGAGGGTCCGTTTTCCCCTTGTAAGCCTCAATGTTGCATGGCCGATATCTTTGAGGCAATGGTGCCTCCATGATTTGCCTAGTAAAAAGCTCAGGAATTCGCACGCCATGCTCGAGACCTGATCTTCCTTCCATCTCCCTTCTGAGCTCGTCCAATCTTCTTCTGAGGTCGGCATTATCATGGCCGGCCTGAGTGCGCACCGGAGACTGGCGATCTCTTCGGGCTTGCCTATTCGCGTTGATCTCGTTTCTGAGATCTCCCTTCCACGCACTTCGGCGGTGGGATGAAACAGCAGCCGAAGATGACTCCTCGTTGTGTTCAACCCTAGTGGAGAGTCTATCATAAACGGAAATCCTTTGCTCATTTATTCGGTTCGCTACCGGAATCCTGGGAGTTGCTCTGGATCGGTGGGAGCGCTGAGACTGGGCTGGTGGAGAATTCCTCGGGTGCGGGGGAGAGTCCCCTTCTCTTCGCGGAGCCATAGATGGGGCCCGGCGAGGAAGGAGGTTCTCCAGTAGGATTTGGAATGATACCTTGGAATGCTGTTGTCAAAGTCTCCACCGCCCTCTGGAACGCAGCTAAACTCGGCAAAGCCTGCGCTGGATCCACGGTGGGCATGTTATGCCCAGTACCCGGCGTCTGGAACTGCGGTGGACGCACCGCCGGATTCCTAGAGTTCCCCCCGCCATGAATCTGATTCCTTAAATCGCCTTGCGTGGTGGCGTTGTCGTTGCGCCTCCTAAAGTCGCTCCGACGTGACCTTGATCCTTCGTCCTCGATCATGACACGATTGTATCGATCTCCGCCTTGATTGCTACCAACACGATTATGGCTATTTGAACCATCTCGGGTGTTTCAGTATTTTACATCTAATATTTATAGATATTGGGAGATAGTATTTTAGGAGGAATATGATACAATTAATGCTTCAATAATGAACTATCTTCTTGCTCGAAATAGAACTCCTTCGATGCTTGATCCCCATACGATTGCTTTCTTCTTTTAGTTGCCGACTTGCCGTTCTCCGGATGAGTTCTGCCTGTTGCCAAATATCTATCAACGAATGACAGCTCACCACATAAGCCCTAGGAATATCCCGGCCTCACTAGAACTCCGCCCAGGCTCGAGGTCTGTTGTCTAGCCCGGCCTGGCTGTGGGTTCCTATCGTGGGCCTAATTCCTAATGGGCTAAGCGGCTTTTAATCATAAATCCCGTTTATGGGTTGATCCTGTAATTAGGCTGATCCCGTTAAGGGCTGTTCCCGTTTATGGGCTAATCCTGTAATTAGGCTGATCTCGTTTATGGGCTAATCCTGTAATTAGGCCATGGGCTGAATCCATGGTACCATCACACATGAAGTGTATGTGTTAAATGAGTAAATTCAATTAATATAAAGGAAATACGAACCATAATTTAAATCAATTAGTTGATACGGAGTACATAAAACCAATCAATTACTTTCACATGTTCAGTAAAATTGTTGTCATTTCAAGTAGGTGATTGTTCAATTGACAAATGATTAAAATATTTTTAATTGGACGTGCATGAGCTGAGTCTGAAATAAGACCATATCGACTTAAATAGACCATGGGAGATGAGACATGCAACACTTTAGTTGCAACATTTTGGACCACATTTCCAAAAATAGATATCAAATATATACGAAGTATATATTAATATGTGAAATTAAAGGACAAGTGAAAAATAAGAATGGAAAACCATATTTTGAACTTTTTTACTTAGCTTTGAGACATCATATACTCCGTACATAGTAAAAAATAGGCAAACTAGAGTGAGAGAATGGAACAGCAAATAGAGGTGATGGAGTGAGTAAAATGCGTTTATATATGTAGGTATACAGAGAGAGAGGGGGGCATATATAATCTCCCTCACATAGCTACTCCCTCAGTGCTCCTCAAACGCCCGCACACTTAATTGGGGGAGCGCATGCATGCATGCAGTGCCTAGCCTAGCCTACCATTTATTAATTGGCCTCTCATTGCCTGCTTATTGCGTGCTTTATTGCATGCTTAGCTAAGCTAGCTTATTAAACGTATGTATATATAGTGTGTATGGGGTAGGTAACATATATCCATCGGCCGGTATCATCTGGCCGGGCACCCAGGCCATTATATTTCAACATATACACACACACAGAATTGAAACTCCATCCATCCATCTTTAATTTCCATGATCGATAAGCTAGCTAGCTATCTAATTAATATATAGCTGCATTGCATGCGCTACTCCATCTACTGTACCGGCCTCTAGCTAAACATACATACATACATATATATATCATATATATATCTCTTGATTATTAATTAATTAAATGGTGATGGATGCAACAGATGTGGGAGATCAGTGTAAGAGATCAGCAGCTGCAGCTGGTAGTAGCATTTGGGTGGCGGGGGCAGTGATCGTGGGCGCCGGCCCCTCGGGGCTGGCGGTGGCAGCGTGCTTGAAGGAGAAAGGGGTGCCCAGCCTGGTGCTGGAGAGATGCAACTGCATTGCCTCTCTTTGGCAGCTCAGGACCTACGACCGCCTCCGCCTCCACCTCCCCAAGCACTTGTGCCACCTCCCCTTCATGCCCCTCCCCCGCTCCTTCCCCGCCTATCCTTCCAAGCGCCTCTTCATCCGCTATTTGGAGGCCTACGCGCACCGCTTCCACATCCGCCCGCTCTTCCGCCGCACCGTCGTGTCCGCGGAGTACCGCGGGGGGCTCTGGAGGGTCAAGGCCCAGGTAGGGGAGGCGGAGGGGGAGGAGGAGTACGTGTGCCGGTGGGTGGTCGTGGCCACGGGGGAGAATGCGGAGGCGGTGGCGCCCAGCATCCCGGGGGCAGAGGACTTCGGCGGGCCCATGATTCACACCAGCTCCTACAAAAGCGGGACGGGCTTCGGAGGGAAGAAAGTGCTGGTGGTGGGGTGCGGGAATTCGGGAATGGAGGTGTGCGTGGACCTGTGCAGCCACGGCGCCGCCCCCTGTCTGGCGGTGAGGGGCAGGGTGCACGTGCTGCCGCGGCAGATGCTGGGCAAGTCAACGTTTGAGGTGGGCATGTGGCTGCTCAGGTGGCTCCCGCCGCGGCATGCGGACGCGCTCCTGCTCGGCCTCTCCCGCCTCCTGCTGGGAGACACGTCGCGGCTGGGTCTCCGCCGCCCCAAGGTGGGGCCCTTGCAGCTCAAGCAGCTCTCCGGCAGGGCTCCTGTTCTGGACGTCGGAGCTCTGGCCAAAATCAAGAGCGGGGAGATCAAGGTCCGCCCGGGCATTAAAAGAGTGGCGAGGCGGCACACGGTGGAGTTCGTGGATGGAGAAGAGGAGCGCTTCGACGCCATCATCTTTGCTACCGGTTACAGAAGCAACGTCTCGTCTTGGCTGAAGCTGCCGCCGCCGCCGGGGGAGGAGGAGATTAATGGGGTATATGCTGTAGGGTTTAGCAACCGTGGATTGCTGGGTGCTGCCGTCGATTCCAAGAGAATCGCACACCACATTGCAAACTCTTACGCCCTACTTGGGCCCCGCCCGCCCACCTCCTACCCGCACCATTGCCGCCGTATATAATTAAACACTCCTTCCTCCACTAAAACATAGCTAGGTTGGAGTATATATTGGACCAACTATATTCTTATTCTCTAAAATACCACCTATTTGATCCTATTTAAAATAGCTCGTACTACCTTTTTCCTTAAAACTTTGACAAAGTTGACGGACACGAAGAATAATAAAGTAAAACTGTGTGGTTGAAATTTGTGCAGAGGAGAGAGAAATAACAGAAAGATGACAAAATTTTAATGGACGAAGGGAGGGAGTATAAAAGTTTCCCAAACACGAGTCAATGGTTCTTATTTAAAGAACATCAAAGACATTGATTCTCTCTCGTCTCTTTGTCTATTTTTACTCGGATTTTTTTCACCAATCATTTTTCTTCAACACACTTTCTTATACACTTTATGTACACCTCCGTGAGAATGCTATTTTTTTTACTTGTGAATCCCATGTGTAAACCCATTAGGATGGACTCTATCAATGAAATTTTGACCACCAAGTAGGATGTTTTGGCCAAACAATTATATATATATATATAGGATGTTTTGGCCAAACAATTTTATATATATATATATATATATATATATATATATATATATATGGTAGGGTTCTAGTGAGAACCCCTCTTAAAATGAGAACCCGTGAGAACCGGTGAGACCCGGTGGTATTTTTGGCTGAAATTTTTTGCGTATGTTCCTCATCAAGTCTAGTTCATCCATACCAAATTTGAGCAAAAAATTCAATCGGGAAGGTCGTCAAATGGTTTTTGAAAGAAAACTGGTCCCGATTATAGTATTGCCTTCTGAAACGTTTACGTATAGCTATGGTAATGATTTGTTTTATTTCAAAATTAAGTCATCAGATTGCAATAATACCGATACTTAAGGTATTCTTTATGTATTTCGACAAATGTGAAAGTTGCGCATTGGAAAGAAGATAAACAAATCAAGATGTCAGCATGCAACTCCAATGTTCCGACCATCCATCTAGGAGGAGGAGGAGGGAGGGGGTGGAAGGCCCCACAAAGATGGTGACCCGGCTAGTAATACAACATGGTATCTCGACACTGGGGGCAAGTAATCATATGACCGATTTTCAGCATCTGTTCAGTGTTCACAGGGATGGAGGAGATTTTTGGAGAATTTTTTTCAAGAAATTTTTTCATTCAGAGACGCGTTAAAGCAGAAGTAAAAGGCTAAGGAAAGTCCACTTTTTGCATAACAGTGGACGGGAGGGAACAATCTAGGATGTATACTACGTTCCCAACATGGAGGCGAATATTATCATATAGAGATCGAGATGAGAGACTCATGAATCAATTTGAAAGTTGTAAATAGCCAATTTGTTAGCATTAGCCAAAAGTGCTTGAAAATCGATTTGATGGTGGACAAGTCACTATTGTGGCACATGAAGTTTGGTCATCTGGATTTTGGAGGACTGGTGGAGCTGACTAAGAAGAAGATGGTACATGCGTTTCCAGAGATGGATGACAGCACTAAAGTCGTTGTGTGTCTCAAAATAAAATACAATACTTGCACTAATATCGTAGTATAACATAGTAAGGTTTGTATCTACAATGACATATATATTTTTTCTTTATGAAATTGTAACCAAAAGGGGTTATAAGATTTGTTTGAACTTGAAAATTTTATAACACTAAGATGAATGAATTATGTGATTTAAATCAATGATATAAAAGACTTGAATTTGCTACTTTTCACCTGTTGAAATGTTTGTTGATCTCAGTTATATCTGTAAATGCCCCCCCCTTGAATACTGAATTACAGAGTATCTCCAATTCATTTACAACCCTTACTATTAGCCAAGTATATGAAACACCGTCATATACCGACTTGATAGTAATATTTAACAATCTCTTAACTCATTGATGGCATCGATAACTTCAACACAACGATTTCGATGTAATGAACACAATAATCTCTCTTAAATTATTCTCACTTTATTTTTATTTTATCGTTTCAATATCAACCATATAAACTTACTTTTCTTAATAACCGCACTACATCCTCATGTCTTATTGTTAATGAATGAAGTTAGTATCATTTATAAGGAGTTTTCAACAATTTGTAATGTGTGTGCATATTGAACTTCTAATACTTATATGTTATTATTTATTATTTAGTTATGATTTATCTCATTCGTGTGATAAGCAATACTAACATTTTAAGTGTGTTTATATAACACTTAATTATAATATCTAAATATTACATCTCGTACAACACACATGTGGAATACTAATATGTACACATTAATTCTCTTTTAACAATTTTGCAATGCCTCCTTAGAGAAGTTGAATCCTCTTTTCTCTTACTTATTTCTTAACTAGCTTTTTATACGCGCAATGCGCGATAGCTAATGCCCAATACTAAAACAATATAATGAACAAATACAATTCATATCTACAAAGTACCTAATTGAGAACGGTGAGAGTGTACATATGCATAAACAAAACCACTCATAATTTCTCTTAGTTATAGACTTGAACATAGAAAATACACAATAGTCTCACTAACAATAGAATTTACAATTTGTTTTATACCCCCACCTTCAGGTTATTGATAGAAATAGAAATGTTTTAACCTCATTGATAAAGGTTTCATTAGGTTATTCAATTTAAATAAATCTAGTACTGGAGATAAACTTTATACAAATAGAGAATGCCTAGGTAAAACCCAAGTGCATTATTATTATTATTATTGTTATTATTGTTATTATTGTTATTATTGTTATTATTATTATTATTATTATTATTATTATTATTATTATTATTATTATTATTATTATTATTATTATTATTATTATTATTATTATTATTATTATTTTTACTCCAGGGGGTCTGGGGGAGAGGGGCTGGAGGGAGCCTGGAGTAATATGTGAAGAAACTCACTTCATTGAGTTTCACCCCTCTATGTGCCTAGCGGGTTTCGAACATGAGACCTCACACTAGGCACGGTAACCTCACAACCAGCTGGGCTGGAATGCTTGGTTGTCCAAGTGCATTTTAGCATATATAAAAATATTATTTGATTAATTAGCTTGATCAAATAATAAAGTAAAACTGTAGATGTTTGCTTTGATGAAAACTAAATAAGGTGAATATATAAAAATTAATTATAAAAATCAATACTTAAATTTAAAGGTAGTTTTTTAAATTTGATTTATTTAAGAGGCAGGGAAGTTATACGGAGTAGCTCTAGCTAGGTTCTCCAGCAATATTTCTTATCATAAAATAGTATTACGTTAATTAAAATGATGTAAATTAATCGTTAAACAAATAATTTTACCTAATAAACTCTAATTTTGCTATGAAACACACGATTAAGTTAGTTAGCTTAGATCCTGAAGTGAGTTGTTTTCATTAAATTAGCCAACTATAGTTCCTTATTATTGAAATAAAAGTTTTAATATTATTAACGAGTGATTGTGCACGTGTGTAAGAAGTATTTACTTCATAATAGGATTCCTTTTAATTATTTACGTAAGACTATACACGTAGTGTTAGAGTTGAGTCCTATTAGGAATTTTATTATTAAGCACGTTAGTAGTGCTTTGTATTTAAGGAGAAGAAGCAGATCAATAAACGCAGACTTTTACCAATTGTTGTTTTATTTCATGGTATCAGAGCATTAATCGCTCAAAAGAGCGTGATATAGTTTTACGATGGTGAACGAGAAAGAAACAGAGAAGGACGATGCAGCAGCATCTGTCAATTCCTCAAAAATTGGCAGCAAGAGTAAGACAACACAGCCCACTGCCGGCACATATTCTGGAAGTCCAATCCAACTGGGAGGGATCACTGGTGACCAATGGAAAGCTATAATGGCGACCGTGGGTAACATACAGTCTGCATCGAGTAATACTCAGGTTAATTGTGAACGGATGAGAGGTACGTTTGATTTGTCTTCGTGGATTATAGATAGCGGGGCAACAAATCATGTTATCGGGAATTTTGAGTCCTTAGCAAATAGTACTTGTGTTTCGTATACTGTTGGTTTACCCGATGGACAGAAGGTAACAGCCACACAACAAGGAAGTGTTGTTTTGACTGAAAATATTGTGTTACACAATGTCTTGTTTGTACCGAAATTACGGTGCAATCTGATTTCTGTTTCACAGCTTATGGAAGACATAAAATGTGTGGTACAATCTAAATCCAATATGTGTGCTATACAGGACCTACACTCGAGGAAGCTGATTGGAATGGGTGAGCGAAGGGATGGACTATATTACCTCAGACCACAGACAACAATTGCTTCTTCACTCAATACAGTTCAGATTACCGCTGATATCTGGCATCAACGGTTAGGGCATCCGACTCCTCAAGTTGTGAAAACTCTTTTCAGAACAACAGATAGTGTTACTTTTCCTTGTGATATTTGTTTTCGTGCTAAACAAACTAGAAGTTCTTTTAGTTTGAGTGCCTCTAAAGCAACTCGGGCTTTTGATTTAATTCATTGTGATTTGTGGGGACCCTATAATACTGCTTCATCGTGTGGTGCTAAAAGTTTCTTTACAATTATTGACGATTTTTCTCGTGCTGTGTGGATATTCTTGTTAGTTGATAAAAGGGAAGTGTACAAAATGTTTCTTTCTTTTGTGGCTATGGTTACACGCCAATTTTCTGCTTCTATCAAACGAATTCGTAGTGATAATGGTACAGAGTTCCATTGTTTGAGAAAATATTGTGAAGAAAATGGTCTTTTGTTTGAGACTTCCTGCGTGGGGACCCCTAACAAAATGGACGAGTGGAACGCAAACATAGGCACATTCTAAATATTGCACGTGCTTTGCGGTTCCAAAGACATTTGCCAATCACTTTTTGGGGGGAGTGTGTTCTAGCTGCTGGTCACTTGATAAATAGGACACCCTCACCTCTTCTTGATAATAAAACCCCGTTTGAGATTTTGTATGGCAAGCCTCCTTGTTTTAATGATTTGCGAGTTATTGGTTGTTTGTGTTTTGCTCATAATCAACGAGCAAAAGGTGATAAATTCTCAAGTCGTTCTCGTAAATGTGTGTTTGTTGGATATCCGTTTGGTAAAAAGGGTTGGAGACTTTATGATATTGAAACACATGAATTCTTTATTTCCCGTGCCATGCAATTTTGTGAAAATATTTTTCCGTTTGCAATGATCCACGGTGAACCTCATGTGTCTGACGATCCACCTGCTGCTCCCTTTGATATTTACATGGATGATGTTGACACACTGCCTTCTGCCAGCATGACTCATAAATCTACTCCAGAAACTATTTCCCTTGAAACGCCACCTGGCGTAGAGACTTCTTCTATGGCTGAGGCTCCTGCCACGCATGAATCAACATTTGCCCCAACTTCAGAAGCATCACACGGCAATACTAATGATAACACTTCTTCACAGATGGGGCGTGGTCAACGTCTTCGGTATCCGTCTGTAAAGTTAAGTGATTATGTTACCCATACAGTTACTCATCATAGTCCATCCCCTTCGTCACCGG